CCCTCCAGACCGTAGCGGATGGGGACAACTTGAGCACTGCTTTTTTGGCTAGGAGAATTCCGTCCGGCATCGAGCCATTCCTCTTTTGTTGACTGACGGCCGTGACAATCGCTTTCCGACAGACTTCTGGCTTGATGAAGCTCATTCCCATGTTATCTTGGAGGTAGTTTCGAGTCTGCGGATCCGTCGTCAGGCGGTTCACATCACCGTGGTAATATACCTGGCGGGGCAGCCAGTTGTTGACCAGGTTGTCGAGATGTTTGTCGGGTGTGCTGAGACGAAGACAACCGCTTCCACGCTCAATGTAACTTTCGTAATCCTTTGCAGCTTGCTCGAATCCCTCCTTGCTGAGGTATTTCCTGCGCATCTTCAAGGTTTCTTCCTCGTCGTACGCTGGCCCGAACAAGAAGCGGTACTCGCGGCTTTCATTCACCTTCAAATCAGCCCAGTACTGCACAGCTGCGGTAGGTGTCTCGTATCGAGCATCGCTATTCGACAATTGCGGTTCTTGCAGTGCTGACGGAGCTTGTAGACCCCCTTCGCCTTCAAACGCCTCTTGCTTTGCCTCCCACGCCACGGGGGTGGTCTCACAGAGGAAATACGTCTTATCCTTTAAATACTTCATCTTTGGATAGTCCTCCGCCTTCTGATACGGCGTTTTACAACTTCCAATGATGCCCCCACAATTCTCGCTCCACTCTGCCTCTTGATTCATCCACGACATGTAGCCCAAGGGAAAATAAGGATACACACTCAGACTGCGTCTCCGATCCGTCAAATTGGTAACCTTGATACTCCACAGCTCCGCCACATCGTCCGTCGGTAGCAAAAACTTCATTTCAACGCGAATCCCCAGCTTCTCCACTGTCCATTTGATATCGCTCTTGCCGACGTCGAAGACGAAGCGATCGGGTTTCGCTCGGACCGGCTCATACGGGGCTGAAAAGATCTCGGCCGTCTCCTCGTCCTTTACGTAGACGAAGCGGCCCGGATGATGGGCGTAGTAGTTTTGCTCGGGCTGCATAAACGTTTTTGCCTCGAGGTTGGGTGCGTAGGCGTATTTGGCCGGCTCGGGCTGCATGTATTGTGCAGTGGCAAAGCCACGACAGGTTACCTGGATCATCATGCGTTGATTCCAAAGGAAAGCTCCGGCCTTGGGCATGACCGTTGGACTTGTGAGCTCATATCGCTCGCCATTTTCCGTCGCTTGTATCATTTTCGGCTTATGGGAGGGTAATTGGATCTCTACAGAGACACAGTCGGACTCTTATACCGCGGGGGGCTGGTTGGTTATACGAATGTGTGAGGGCCGGCATGGCTCAAGGAGGCGGTAGCTTACTATGTTCAGTGACACGACAGAGGGAGTTGAGCTTGTGATGCGGAAATGGCGCGGCAATTGTGTTCAACAGAACAGCAAAGTCTAGACTCTAGTCTACAATTCGAGCACAATACTCGATATGAATTATTCGAGAGTTTGAGGCAGAGAGACCAAAGAAGGCGGATGATATATTACAAAAGCAAACTGAAGAAGCAAGGGAAAAAAAGGCGCACGCCCATTGAAGCCCTCAAAATCTTGTATGAAGATTGTGAGAAATGCAGGTCCAAGGGAAAATGGAAGAGCGATTTTCGGGCAACGGTCAGCTGTCCCTTCAAGGTTCATATAAAGTACACAGCATCGTAAGCCGCACTGCGTGGGGCTTAGCGAACGCCAGTGTGGGGTATGTACAGCCTGAAAGGGTACTCTCATAAGCGCGGAGGCGGGTGTCCGGTCCGTATTGCCTTTAGCCAGCCGCAAGGCAAGATGGTACAGATTCGTCACCGTGACCGCCGCGCACTTTTACGATTGTGTAAGGCGAGCATGGAGTGAAAGAGGATCGTAGGGAATGGTGGTGCACAAGGAAGCGAAAACCCCCAATGGTAGTACACCACTTGGCATGTACCAGGCGTAATCCATTAAACTTGTACTCGCCTGGTGCGGCGATGTGCAAGGTCAGCTGTTGTCGATTTCCGGGACACAGTGGGATTGACACAGTCGAGGATATCCGTGGCTTATTTTTCTGTAGTCAAGGAACGGCGTGCATCACATTGCACCTTACGTGAGAGTGTGCTCAGCTATACTGCAGCTCGTCTGCAAGAATGCTGTGCAATGATTACCTACAGCAAAGGTTGCAGGTTCCAATTCGATTTGTACTGTCAAAAGAAAAGACCATTAATTGTAGTATGTGAGTAGTGATCTTAGGCGAGCAATAGCGCCGTCGTTGTAACCGTTGCGAAAAAGTAAAAACGGGTGAAAGAATTTCAGGCCTACTCAACTAGGTATCCCGCGACTTCGTCCTGCGTACTAAAGCTCCGCTCCTTTCTCGGCCCAACCGCCAACGCCAGTGTTTTCGTCGGGGGCCGTCTTGTCTGTCTTCCTAGTGATCATGATGTGCTTACCTGCCCCGGCGAAGGCCAGTTTTTGGGGTTTACGGCTTTCAGCTCCTTGTCCAATTATGAGGCCGCTGCAGCCACCGTCTTACTCCAGTATCTGATCTTACCGTCGCCATCGACACTGAGATAGTAATCATCATTCTCTCTCTTGCTAATCGGTCCATACAAGCCATGTTCAATCCAAGCGATGTCTACCCCCTTCGGGCGTTTGAAGAGCTCTGTAGTGTTGCGCTCAATATTGTATACCAGATTGGTTCCTTCGGAGAACTCCAAAGCAAGTAATTTGCCTTGATCCATCCAGTCGACTCTCTGGATGTTGGCCATAGTTGGCCATTTATTGTCGTTATCCATCATGTAGTGCTGCGGTATCGATCCATTGGGACCACCATCAAACGCGGTCCAAATGTAGGCTTCTTTCCCGGCACATAACGCAATGTCTCTGTTATTTGGATGCCAGATGAGACAACGACACCATTCGCTGAGCTTATCTGGAAACGTAGATAATTGACGTCCTTCACTCGAATCCAGTACTTGGATTTCCCGACCAAATTTGGAACTCCAGGCAATAAATTTGGAGTCAGGCGAGAATGCACCGGTCCAACTTTGGCCACCTGAATTCTCCGTGGCCCATAAGAGGTCGCCAGTAGTAGGGCTGTACATACGCAGTGTACCGTCCCATGAGACGGTTGCGATTTTCTCGTCGTCCGGGCTGAATGCTGACCACATGATTGCATCCCTGTGTCCTGACAGGCGGTGGAGCTCTTGTTTTGCTTCCATGTCGTAAACCACAACATGGGGAAGTCTATCAGCCTCTCTCATTCCCATTTGGGTAGATGAGTTTGCCGCGTGATACAAGAGTAACCTTCCATTCGCACTAAATGATGTAGAGCCAAAGCTGCCCAGAACGGCGTTGTCAAGGATAGTGTTATGACGTCTGCGATGCTTCACAGCAATTCGGCTCAGTGCCTTCTCGAACTCATTATGTAGGGCGGAAGAGTCCATGAAGTTTCTGGTCCATTCATGTTTCGCAAGAAGCTCTGTTGCTATAGCGTCAATAGCTTTTGTTGCCAATGTTTTAGGGTCTATCGATTCATCCATATCCATGCTACGGCCATGCCGGTCCAAGTCCCAGAGGATAAGCCTATCCGGATTAGGTTGAACATGCGACGCTTCATCGTTGACAGAGCTCACGATGGTATACGCTAGTTTCTTCAATTGCTCTCCCGCAATCTGGGTAGGTTTGGCGACTCCATCTTCGCTGGGAACTAAAGGTCTGAATACAAGACATCCTGCACCATCGAGCTTTTGACGCAGTTCCTGTGAATGCACATCGTAGATGAGGATATGCTCGGTGTGCGTGCTGATTGCCAAAAGTTTCCCATCGGGACTCAGGGCGGTGTGATATGACGGGTACCCCTCTATGCTATGCACTTGGTCATCGAGACTGAAGTCAATGGTTCCGAGTGGTCGTTCATCTGACCACTCTTTCGGATGGCCAGAGGCATAGCGAGCTGGGATGCCGGCGCTACTTTCGAAGTTGCGCCCAGGTTCCAAGGGAAAGTTGTACGCTTTCGAGAAATCCTCGTGAGAGAAACAAGACATAGACATTTTGATGACTGGATCATGATTAGTAGAGGACAGCTGAGCTTTGTTTTGAAGGCAACGGTTGCCTAACCATGTGAACCAAGCATAGATCAGCGCATGACGTCCAATGCGGTGTCCACCAATCAACAGGCACCACGGCTTCCCAGATGATCCAAACCAAGAGTCAGACTTCTGTACTACTTCATGGACCGTACGGATCAGGCAGCAACATGTGCATTCCAAAGCGGAGGAACGTAAGAGCTGCGTGTTACCAAAAGAATTTGTATGAATTGAAACGAAACGTCAATCCCACCTAGCACTGTGCGTCCATCAAAGCTCAACTGTTCCGGGGAACAGGAACTAAGAGGATGCAACAGCAGAGTAAAGACGCCAGATAGGTTCATCGTCTAGTGAGGCCGGCCAAGCTGCCACTGTCGAGACAGTTCAAGCTCGTGGAAATCACTAGACATTAATATTGGGCGTTGCCTTTGTTCAGCAGCCATTCCCTCAGGAAATGGGAGGAGGATACCCGGCTGCTGAACCCACAAACGACGTCTTTCGACGACGAATGTGTGACGCCCGTGAAAACTACAGGGGATGAAGAAATATACAGACGAGCGAGGGTTGTTGGTCTTATGAGACCTGCTGCACGTTGTTGTCAGTGTAATTAGTGACCCTGGTCTTGGTATTTGCGCTTTTTGGGAGAAAACGATAGCATTGCAAGCGTGTTTTTCTGCGGCGTAACAAGAATAGCGACAAAGGTTCGCAAGTGTTGCAGACAAAACCATATCTCCAGGTCGTAACGGATTCACTTCGAACGCGTAAAAACCTGTCGCGTGGTGTTGAGGAAAGTCGGAGCAAAGTGAGAAGGCGCGTGTCAAGTTCTGGCACTGGTGTGGAATGATTTAGCCTAACTACTGTAGGCTAGCGCAGACACATGCCTCCTTTTCCCCCTTCAACACCATTCTGTCCATCATTCTCCCTCGCAACTACAAGTCCACGCGCAGATCTTCGAGAAAGTCTACATCTGTTGCCATTTTCGAATCTGGAATAATCCCATCCATCATCTGCGCCCATGACTCCAGTGTATTTGTCAAGTGCTCGAGGGAAGTCTTTCGATGATCCTTGCGAGGCACTGGTGGTGGAGGCAACTTGAGTTTATCAAAAGCCAACAGCGCCAACGATGCTGCGTCTTCACCAGGACTGTAATACTCGAGCAAGTCCTGTAGTTGTGGTGTTGGGTTACTTTCTGGGTAGCCTTCGGTGCGTCCTGTGGACCGTTGGTTCCAACCAATGGTGAGGTCTCGCTCGTGTCTGTTTTCGAGGAGCTTATTCCACTCTTTTTGGATTGCTGGTCGCTGCAGTAGAGAGTAGATGACTTTGCTGTGATACCAGTTGGATAGGGTTTTGCCTTCTTTCTCGATGTGCTGGGCAACGTGATTACACCTCTCGGTCCAGTCGTCACTGAAATGAGTGCAGAAGCCACAGCCCCAACCCGTTCGGGCATGCCGTTGTTGTTTTGCTTGCTGTACGTGTCGCTTCAACGAACACTTGATGCTGTCAGCGCAAGTGGCGCATTGATGTGACTTTATGTGATGTGCGGCAAAATCTTTGTCCAAGAAATATATCGCCGGGCAATTGTCGCATGAAAATTGTTCTGTTCGCTCCTGATACGTCTCCTCGTGTCGCTTCCAGTCTGCCTTGGAAACAAATGTCTTCTCGCAAATCGTGCAAAAGTACTTGTGTTCCTTGCTGCAAGGTCGACTTTGCTTGTTTGTAGATACACAGGTTTTGAAATAGTCCCTTTCGTGTATTATCTGTCGTTGAGCTGATCTTCTTCTTGGTGAAGGTGATATGGGGCGCTTTCTTGTATTGGGGAGAAGCTTTTGACGGGCTGAAGGCCCATGACTCAACGCGTACTCTGCTTCGGATATGTATTGATCTCGAGATGCGTCCGAGGCATAGGACCAACTTGATGTGGTCGAGGCCATGGAGTCTCGAATTGGCCATTGCGAAAACGTGCTATTACCCGAAGATCGGAAGTTGCTGCCTCCAGACGAAGAACTTATGGCCGACATGTGCTGATATTGGCCGAATTGCTGAGAAGTCAGCCCTTGTGCTAACGTTTGACCAGGATCGTGGTTTTTGTATGCTGAGTCAAAAGTCAGATGGCAACTCAACCTAAATTGTGTACAACGAACCTGTAGAGTGTGGTTGGCATGTGGCAGGGTAGTGTTGGCACTGTCTTTGTGGCTGCTGATTATATGAGTGCGAAGCCACATTTTGGTACGCGCCCATGTTTACATCCGCAAATTCGTCATCGAATGTATACTGCGAACCAGCGCTGTCGTCATGATACCAGCTCATGATGCAAGAAAAGAGGAAAGGACAGGATTTGAGGAAAAGCGACCACTTCGAGCCACGCAACAACGAAACAGCAAATACCAGTAGAAGAGAATGACGACTCGAGGTCTTCGCGTTAGTAAATATGGGCCCCCATCATGAGCCTCACAGTCGTACAAGCTGGAGATGGTTAGCGTCATGGTCAGCGATCTGTTCACCTGAAACAGATGGTGTGGCGGGGTCAGCCGTTTCACGAGCAAGATGTTTCGAAACATCAGGCACCAGCACCTTGGCCTCGCGCCTACTGGCTGGCATCAAGTGGCGAATACAAAATTATCCACTTGTGCGTCCCTCGTACTGCACGAGAGATCGGGTTGCAGCGATGGCAAGGAGGCGGGGTGGTTGCGAACGGTGACCGGAGGAAAGGCTGAAACGAAAGTTACAGTCGGTCAGAAATCGGCTCGGTAGGAAGAGTGCTCGAGTGACCGAAGATACCGATGCATTTCCCCGAAGCTGACTCTACATCATCTACGAGGGCGCAGTTCATATAACCATGGAATTAGCGCTGCGTGAACTTGTATTCAGCATAGGGTTAGGCTATGCCAAGCTCTACTAGCTAGCTAAGCAAGGTTAACCAAATATTATGCTATAAGATTTTATAACGCGTTCTAAACCTATTCTAAATATATTCTATACTAGTAATACTATAAGCTACTACTACTATACTTATTACTAATATATCTCTTATATCCTATATAAGTAGATTAAAATATATTTAGAACATATTCTTAATAGGTTATAGAAGTACTATTAATAGTACCTTACTCTTAGCTACGTCCTAAATAATATTAGGGCATAGCCTATAGTTAGCCCTAATAGGGTAGTTAAGATAGAGAGTAGAGAGCGCTACTACTATACTAAGATTAATAATAAGGGCACCTTATATAGAGTAAGAATAGGTTCTAAATATATTCTAAATAGGTTCTAATATTCTTAGGCTATTCTAGGTACTAGGGGCACTTTATATACCTATACTAAAAAAGATTATAGGCTTAATATAGCCTACTATAAGGTTAGTAAGGTTAAGAAAACTAGCTAGCCCTCTATAAGGGAGGTCTATAAGGTAAAGAGTAAATATATTATTAACCTATTCTTAACTTATTATACTAATATATATAAACTTCTATATAAAGGTTATATATAATTACTAGAATACTCCTTACTATAAGTTATTTAGAATATATTTAAAACTTATTACTAACGTGTTTTATAGAAGTTCTCTAAGCCTAGCTAGTAGCTACTATAGGCCCCCTAGTAAATACTAATACCCTCCTAAATATAATTTAGAAAAAGACTTATACTAGCTATAATAGTAATAAGGTATAGCCTATAAGAACCTATTAAAAATATATTACTAACTTATTATAGCTTAACTTTATTACTATATCTACCCTACTAAGGATTTAAGGTTATTAGGTTCCTTATACTATTTACACTTATAATTATCCTAGCTATAGTAAGTTATTTATAATATATTATTAACCTATTCCTAATATATTTTAAGACTATTACTTTAATACTAGTATAGACCTTACTAATTCCTACTAGAATACTACCTAGTTCTACTTGTAGTATACTTTTATAGAGCCTAGGGAGGATAGGGAGGATAGAGAAGATACTAGAGAGGGGGAGGGAGATAATAATAGTAATAAGTAGGAATATATTAAGAATATATTAAGAATAGGTTCTAATAAATAATATATAATAGTATATAACCTAAAGGGGTAGTAGTAATTACTAAAATAAACTCTCTACTCTTCTCTTTTTTTTTCTATCTACTAAAAGTAAAGTACTATTTACTTTTATAGGGTCCTTTAATAGTATATAACTTTTTCTTTTAACTTTTATAGGTATTATAAAGCTCTAGTAGTCCCTTAGATTAAAGAAGAATCTAGTATTTATAGGTGTCTAGCTATAACGTATTATTAATATATTCTAAATATATTTTAAGAGACTAGACTTATATCTCCTTTTTACTACTTTTGCTAAATATTATTTATAGTGTAAAGGGGAGTAATTATTTGCTTCTCTTCTTTACTCTCTACTTCCTCTTTAGCCTTTACTCTAGCTACTACTTCTTATTATAGACTAGCTATCTTAGAGGGTTCTTAAACCTTAGAGGAGGCACTTAGTGTAGTCTACTTTACTAGCAGAGAACATATTATTAATATATTTAGAACACGTTCTTAAGCATTTACTATTAAGCTCCTATAGAAGATCCTTACTTCTATAATACCTTGTATTATAGTTCTACTATAGTTTACTAGGGCTATTTAAACCTTAGGATAATACCTCTTAAGGTAGTAGATAAGATTACCTCTATTAGAGAAGCAACACTAAAATAGTTATTAATATATTATAAACATGTTCTAACTTATATATATATATACTCTACAAAGTTCCTATACCCCTAATCTAGCCTAAATAGCCTAGTAGAAAAGCTTACTAGGAAATACTATACACCTATTATTTAGGTAGGATATTATAGGAGAGAATACCCTAGTATTAGATAGAAGTAACTTAAGCTTAATATATTACTAGTATAAATCCTACTTAGTATTAGAATAAGTTTATAATATATTCCTAACGCGTTCTATTATATACTAACTTTAAAAGATCTTTATAGACTATATTAACTAGTTATATCTAATAATATTAGGAAAGATAGATAGTAAAATAGTATTAAACTCTTAAATATAAAAAGTTCTTATAGAGTGTAAGAAGAAAGAAGAAGAAAGAGAAGAAGAAAGAATATATATTTATCTACTTATATATACTTATATAATAGACTAGAATATATTAAGAACTAGTTAGGAACTAGTTACTATATTTATAGACTAACCCTACCTTATATAAAAAGTAGCTATCTCTTTCTTAAGTTTAAACTATACCTTTTGCAATTTAAATAGTACCTTTTTCTATACAAGTTCTTCCTTATCTACCTCTAGCTTTTCTTTTCTCTCCTTTAGAGCCTAATTACTAAGAAGAGCCTTTTATTATAAAGTTTATAGTTATAAACTAATAATAAGTTAGGAACGTATTATAAATATATTTCGCGAAGCATACCTTTAGGTTACTATTAGTAGAGGAGAAGAGCCTAGTAGTAGAGAAGATAGAAAAGGGGCTAGTAAACTTCTTTCTAATACCGCTCTACTACTTGCCCTCTAGCTTTAGGCTTTTAAGCGTGCTCTTTTATTTCTTATTAGGACTAAGATATATCTAGTTAAGTTAGATATAGCAAGACTTACTTTATTATTATCTAGAGTATTATTATTATTATAGGACGTGTTCTAAATATATTCTAAATATATTTTAATTAGCAAATATATATAATACTAGTGTAAGACTTACTTTCTCCCCTTTAAAGCTTTTTAAGGTACCTTTGCTTAAGCCTATTAGGAGTTCTATAGTTATAGTATATTCTAAACTTGCTCTAGGCTTTAAACTCTTTTATATCCTATAGATCTATCTAGTGTGCACTATATAATATTACTTATATAATTCTAATAGGTTAAGAATAGGTTATAAACTTACTTCTAAGTAGCCTTAAGAATACTTACATGCTTACTAGTTTTATATCCTTTCTAGCCTGCTTACTTAGCTATATTTAAATAAGATTCTAGTTTTTCTTATACCTCTTTTAATATTTTACTATAGTATTATATAATCCTAGTAGTAATTACTAGGTTTTTCTTATAGATTACCTAGTTTTAGGTATCTTTAGAGGGTTTGTGTTCTAATTATATAAGAACAAGTTAGGAACATGTTTAGAATAGGTTTAGAATATGTTTACTTATATAAGAGGAGGTTAGTAAGCTAAAAGTATTCCTTTACTATTAATACCTATAGTAATTTACTTAGATATAAAGAGGTAGTATTATCTAGCTCTCTTTTATATACTTTATAAATACTTCTTTATAGATATACTTAATAAAATCTTATACAAGATTAAAGTTGCTAGCGCTAGTTACGCTTATAGGGATTAATTAACTAGAGATAGCGCCTAAGTCCTAGAAACAAGTTAGAAATATGTTATAAATAGGTTATAGTATGCTATAAAACTTACCTATTATCTACTTATTATATATATTAATAGTAGTCCTATAGAATCCCTATAAGTAAATATACCTCTATAACACTTATCTTTTTATAAGTGCTTTATACTTCTAAAAGAAGTTAATAATAGCAACTTAATATATCTTAGTTATATCCTTATCTATAATAATTTAGCTAAGTATAATAACTATAATATATTAGAAACGTGTTATAAACCTATTCTTAATATATACGCTTCTTTTCCTATAGGTAGAAGATTACTATTAGAATCTCTACCTATACCCTATATAACCTCTTATATAATATATCTATCTAGAACATGTCTTAATCTAATAGAATTAATACCTACTCTTTAAAAAGGTAAATAATTAAGTTACCTAAGCTTAATATAAAGATTTGCTATATATACGCCTATAGTAACGTGTTAGTAATATATTCTAAACCTATTCTCTTACACTACGTATAGTTTTAGAATCCTAATACTTTATCCTCTACTTATAGTATACTCCTCTAAGGCTACTCTTAAATAGGAACTATAGAAGCTTTTTACGCTTTATAATACGTAAGATTTTATCTTTATTTATAAAGCTAATATATATTTCTTTAATAGAATAGAAACCTTTAAGTTAGAGATAGGTTTAGAGCTAGGTTAAGTTTAGGAACTAGGCTATAATAAGTTAGGAATATATTTATAATAGGTTATAAATAACTTATATTATATAAGCTATAGAGTAAGTATAGGCTATAACACCTTTACTACTTCCTTAATATTACTATTAGATAGTATTAAGGGAGGAGGAGGTATATATATATATATACTAAAAGAAATAATAGTAAAAAAAGGTATTACTACTATATCTATTAGTATAATTACTTAGAAGGTAACTTTATATAAGATTTTAAATAGAGATCCTTACCCTTATAGATAATTAACGCCTAGAATATATTAAGAATATATTAGGAATAGGTTATAATATACCTACTACACTTCTTTATCTAGCTTAACTATAGCTTAACTATAGAATATAAAGCAGGACTACTAGAAAGATTTAATATCTCCCTAGTTAGAAGACCTTATAGATATATAGAGTCTACCTCTAGTAGTACCTAACTAAAATAATATTTTTTCCTAGTAGTAGATATTAGGCTATAGTTCTAATAGCTAATATATAGTTAAGCCTATTCTATAATTTACTAACTTGTTATTAACACGTTTTAAATATATTTAAGTTTTACTCCCTACCTAATTTACTATAGTCCTTATTATAGGATAATAAGACACCTAGTAGTCCTTATAAATCCTTAAAGAGAAGCGCTTAATAAGGCTATAATAATAGCTTCTTATTTATAGTTCTCTTTATAGAATTTTCTTAGGTACTATACTTTTTAAGGTTTAGATCTAATTATATAATATATTATTAATAATATAATAAGAACACGTTTATAACGTATTCTTAAGATACTTACACACTTTTACCCTAGAGTATTAGTATTTATACTAGCTTGCTAGCTAGCTATTAAAGAATAGTAAAGTTATAGGCCTATTAAGATAGATAGACTAGTAGGAGTATTATACCTACTAGAATTAGAATAATTTAAGAATATATTCTTAACGTGTTACCTATATAGCCTATATAAGCACCTCTTCTCTTATTAGGTAAGAGCTATCTTTATATTGCTAAACTAGTATTATATACCTATACCCTTAGCTATATAATTAAGGGTATACTAGGAGAATAGCTATATACTTAATAATTACTAGTATAAGTAGTAGTCCTTAACTATTACTATAAGTAAGGTATATATTATACCCCTATAATATATTACTAACCTATTCTAAACTTATTCTATTTACTTTTACTTACTTCCTTAATACTACTACTACTATCCTCTTCTAGCACTTTATATAGTTGCCTAAATTTATCTCTAATATTACTATCTAGTTTAGATATATTATCTAGTACTACTATACTAAACTCTAGTATAGTATTTAGGAACACCTATATATTATTAAGAATAGGTTTAGAATATATTTAAAAAAGATAGTAATAAAAACTATATTTACTTACTTAAATTACCCTAATTTATACTTAACTATAGGCTAGTTTATATAACTATAAAAATTTGCCGCTGTGACGTGGACTTGAACCTACAGGGATATTCTAACCACTTGGAGTAAAGCCCAAGTCGCCCGACGCTAAACCTATGGTCATATGACATGCCACCACATCATCTACTTTCCAAGGCTATCCAATGCATCTTGCACCGCTCGGCCTAAGATTAGATTTTGTTGCTATTCTTGATAGCTTCGACTGATAGAATTTACTAACGCGGCTCTGCGAGGTAGTTATATACGCGAGGCACAGAATAAGGACATTTTGATATGGTATTAAACCCTTTTTTTCATCGCCTCAAGTATTAACATGCCCAAGACAATCTAACAATCCACTGCCCCAAAGGGTCCCAAGGCCATTCACAGCTGTTTCGGTCTCCTCAGAGTACCCCTTCGTAGCTACAAATACAGAACCGTCACTCCAAAATACCCTTTCGGCTCAGCCCGAGTGGTCAACACTCAACGACGTCCCGCCCTTCTCAACATACTCCACATGTACCACCAAGTGGTATCCTCTATGATCTCGTCGGAGTCCATGACGAGGAGCACAAGCTCCAGCTGCAGCCTCTTCAGCGGCCAGCCCGGATCCACCTGCGCGATGGGAACCATGGGCTCGCGACGCACGGCCTTGATGACGATGGAGGGGGCGGCGCGGGTCAGAGCGCTGCGAGAGGAGATGTCATTGAGGTGACCGAAAATGATCCGGCGCAGAAGAGCTGCGGGGAGATCGCCGATGCCCGTGTGGTCGTTAGGTGTGCTGGGGCGGCGGGGGAGGGGCTTTCCAGGCACCAGGACAGTGTAGGCGGCTGAACTTTCCTTCTCTGCCCGCGCACGCACGGGAATGGGCGGTAGGGGGCGCGTAGGAGTGGGTGGTAGAGGGCGTGTGGGCACCGGGGGTGGAGGGCGCGTGGGGACAGCAGGCGGAGCGGGCGGGGACTGCGAGGCCAGTACGTCGAAGGCATTTATGCGAGCGACTATGTCCTGGTAGATGGCCTCTTGCTCCTCATTCAGGTAGCCCATGGTGATTTGGAGTGGAGTGGAGTGGAGTGGAGTGGAGTGGAGTGGAGTGGAGTGGAGTGGAGTGGAGTTGAGGAAAGTGTGGTGGTTTGGTGGTAGGATGGCTGTGAAATTTGAAGGTTGCTGAAAGTGTGTGTGTGTGTGTGTGTGTTTGGAGGGTAGAGGATTCGCGGTTGTGAGTGATAGTTGTTTGTTTAAGGGCGGGAGGGTTCTTGATATTGTCCGTGCGTTGGCATCGCGCGGCTCTCAGAGGTAGCCTCTACAGAGACCACCCCACTAAGCCAGTCTGTATGCATTTATGCATACAATATCTTCCTCGACTCCGGCCAGTGCAAGGGCTTGCCTGCCTCCCGAGTGAATTCTTTCCCTCGAGCTTCTTGTCTCGACCGAGCGGACACTCGAGGCCGCCAGCTAAACCAGCGACGAGAACGTGTGCAGATGGACAACAGGCTTTTGAATCCCCCTATGTCTTGCCACAAGCGCAGTGTCTCTCCCTCGAGGAATAATCCGTACGCAGATTCCTGGGTGGAGTCGCAGAAGAACTGACCATGGGGGTAACTTACCGTATAATCAGAAGGCAGCATGCCTGTAATGAAACTCTATCTACTACCCAGAAGGGTAGAGAGTGCTCAGGTCACCACGCTCAAGCTTGTAGCAGTACCACTCTCCATGCTGATGCCATCAACATAGTCAACCCCCTGGACGCCAAAGCGGCACGCTGCAGCTCGGTAGCCCAACTCATTTTCTGCACCCTGTCTATAACACCACCACCATCGGCGATCAATACCAATCGATAGCAGTCGAAGGATTGATGACCAGGCCTTGAAATGCTCTCATAGCAGGCTGGGCGGCATGTATCTCGCGGCACTGCCCCTCCACATCGCTCCTTCGTGGAGTAGACATGGGCACCCAATTACCAGCCCCCTCACACCGCAGCGCGCACACCGCACACCTAGACGAGGAGCTCCGCCTCTTTTCTAGACTCACCAAGATTGGTATACGCGGTGGTAAGACTCGATCATTACCATCGCCTACATGTTGGCATGGCAGCTGTAGCTTTCGCGCTGACAAGTCGCAGACTCCCGACAGCTTCCTCGGAGAAGTACAACCAATATCACACATTGTCAAAACAATTGTATGCATCGTCAGAGGTCTTGTACAAGAATCACCGAAACTCGAACACGAAGACATTGAGCGCTCAACGATACTCGGGCTCGCAGTTGCCTCTTGTCGCGCCACATTAGCTGCGAAAGGAACAACACCCAAACCAGCATCTCGCTCGTTGAGATCGCACATGCACTCTGATTGCACACGTCTATACAATCTGTGGCAAGCAAAGGCGGCTCGACATCTTGTACGATGCTAGAATACTTTATGCATTGCCATGCAGAAGCAGCGGGTCCTATGAGTAAGCTTCGAGCGAGAAAGTGACCATGTTTGTGCAACAGGAGGCCGCAATGCAAACTCAGACAAACTTCTTATAACACTTGACAGGAAAACAAAGGACTGCAAGTGAGATAACAACGCAGTGGAATGAAGAAGCTCTCCAGCCAAGGTCAAGCTCATACACAGGCAGGATCGACAAGTATTCGCCTGAAGCGAGGCTTTGTACGTCGTGAGGACATCAGCCAGAAGGATCAGGTCCAGGTCATTCTTGTGCTCAGATGTCGAGAAGGATTATAACGCCCCGATCTTTGAAGGCAACGACCGATGCCTCAAAGGCTAGCTGGACGCCGTTGCTTGAAGAGAAAGGTGGCTGTGGAATTAGACAAGATGATGAATTCGAAGACTGAAAGAGATGGAACGACAGAGAAACAAGGACTCGATCAGAGGTATTTCAGACTATGACACTTGAGATACTCACGCTCGAAGACTCTGTTCTGCCAACTCGTGCGATAATAGAAACCAGAGTGGATGCGGACCGCGGTGCACTTTTGAAGTGCCATAAGCAACCCATACCTGAGCATTGAGCTGCCCAGATCTCACGCACACTCGCTTCATAGAAGCTCGATCTTTGAAGTCTGTTTGCTCGCTACAGGTCATAGCCGCGGACTTCAGCGCCGGCTTCTCGGTCGACACATGACAAAATGTGCTGTATCACGGCGGCTTTCTAGGTCCGAAAGGTTTTCGTTGATACCATGGCTTGATTATGTGGGCAAGTCAAGCTCATCGCATGTGGTCCATCTCAACCGATATCGGGTCTTGCTAGGCTGTATAACCATCTCTTGACAAACCCGAACAGAGTCATGCTCCTACTCGTCTTTTTCTCAAGGAATTCACAGATCTAGGGTTATGTGTTGATGTTCTACCATGGTCACATCAGGCATAAGGAACCTGGGTGAGGTATGAGCATCTAGACAAGCCGCCGTGCATACTACACGCATGTGTTCGATCCAAACCAATGTCTGGGGACAATGTGGATTACGTGGCTTTTTCCTTGGGCTCCTATGGCATTACTCGCCTGGACTTTCATCTTGATTGGCTCTTAGCATTACGCAGCTTGGGCACTGGCAAGACTTCATCCAGACGCTTGGCCATCTTCGCGACAGGCTTGTCCCATCTTCGGAGCCGTCGCTGCAGGAACGGCTCCCAGCGGCCGATATCTTGCAGCTTCTGCCCGAGAAGCACATCGCGCAACTCTTCCAGAGTCTTTCTTGGTATGGAGTCGTTATTGAACTCTAAACTCTTGATGATTCCATGATGGACATTCATGCTGATGCCGACGTCGGAGTCGGAGTCAAGCAAAAGGTCGAATTGTGGGGTCTGCGACCACATCCAATCTTCCGTCTGGCGAATGTCAGCGTAGCTCCCTTTGCGACGAGTACAAGCGTACCTGTAGCTCCTCATACCCTTTGTAGATGTCTGGGATGTTGAGGTAGTCATCGCCAACGGTTCTGGTGGTTGTTGGCCCAAGGTTTGCGTACATGGCTGCAAACTCGGCCTGCATGTGTTGCTGAAACGCTGGAAGATCAAGGCCAATGTTGCCAACGGGAGAGCTGACGCTTTCGACGCCCTTTGCTTGTATGAGTTTCTTCGCTGGTGATCGCAGGTACTGTGGTATTATGCGCAGATTCGGCGAACTCAGCAATGTGGTGGCATGATGGAGGGCGCGCTGCCTAGTGAGCTTATAGGCCGACCCAGAGACTTTGAGGGGCCGTGGCAGCGCATCTTCGCCGACGGTGTAGGGCGTGCGATGTGTATCGTTGGGGTCGGAGGCATGTTCTTCGTGTCCTTGATCAAGCACAATGTCGTGTCGCTCGTTGACTCTGGCCCGCCCGACGCCCAGCTTGCGCAACGCGCGGACAGTCATCTCGGCATGTTTATCACGCGTGAAGTCTCCGCGGGGGCATATTATGCTCCAATTGAGGTTGCCCTCGTCGTGGAAGACGGTGCCTCCTCCTGAGCGGCGGCGCACAAGGTCGACAGTGCCGATAGCCGGAGACGCCTGTCCTTGGGGCTGTTGTGTGCTGCGGGCGGCGTGGAGGAGGCCGAGATTGACTTCAGTCCACGGATTCTGGTTGCGGCCGATGACCACGCAGGGCCGATTCACGTAGAGGAAGAGGATTGTGCTGTCGGCTGGGCTTTTGCGGAGAATGTGGTCTTCAATGGCAAGGTTGAGGTATGGATCGCTGCTGCTCGACACATAGCTCTGCAGCTTGTTCGCCGTGTCTGCCAGCTGCTCCGTGAATGATGAGAAGCCTCTGCTGTGGGTACTCATCGTGCTGTTGCGTGAAACTCCATGCGTCTGCGAGTGGCGTGCGGTCCATGGCAGCAGAGGGCACAAGCTGCGCAGGCCACCGGCTGTGCTACTGCTGATGCTACTGTGTCGTCGACGAGAGTATCCTCCTCTCTGCCATGTGGTGGGCAGCTTTGCAGGAGAGAAGCTGATGTCGCACTGATCGAGCGCCCGCGATGCATGACTGAAGCCGAACCCCCTTGACGGAGCCATTCAGTCAATATTGGCTATGTGTTATATGTTGCCATATGTGCCTGTGCTTATGGTGTTGTCGTTGGTATTGTGGTATTGGTGGTGGGGATCGTCACGAACGGGGGTTGCCGGCGGTAAAATCCAAAGACAGCTTGAGCCATCCATGTTCGCTTTGCCCCCTGGCATGCCTTGGCTGGTACCACGGAATTGGCGCTGCTTGGTCATCCGATCTTTCGGAACATCTTTCGCCCCACCCTTCAACGACATCTCTTCATCACGACGCCTCTCTGTCCATCTAGAGAGTATGTGATGTTTCCATTGACAATTCAACAAAGTGTTTCATCCAAGTCCTGACGGCTTTATACGTCTTTGAGACCTTTATCTGTCGTTGCCATGCTTCAGGGGCACATGTCCGCTCAGGCGTCAAGCGGAAGGACACACTTTTCGTGCCAAACACATCGCATTCATTTCATTCCCTAGTCCTCTCTATCTTCTCTTTCCATCTGTCTTACTTTCTCATGGTCAAAATTGCAAGCTCGACCCACGACTGGATCATTGCACCCCTTTTAATTGCTTATTCCCATGTCTCATTCTTCCTTCATGGATACCCAGACAAATTCATGCATGTGCACGATGTGTTATATACATCATGCCCACCCGCTTCTTTGTCTTACATCCTACTACGACCATCTACAATTCTTTGAGAGTTGTTGTGCTTTGTATGCACCCCCCCCCACATGGTCATCTCGGTTTCGAATGATGCTCCCTCGCCAAACCCCTTTTCAGTAACACCAAGATATCCTGCCCTGGCTGAGCCCACCATGATGTCTTGGTATCTCACGACGCTACTTCTTCAGTCAAAGATGAGGTCCTTCCACTGTCTAATTCTTTCGTCCCGTCATTCAGATCCGAACCAAGTGCTCATTCTCAATTCTTCTTTCAAATCAGGGTCTGATATCCTAGGATCCCATCAGTTGAACAAGCCGAAGTATTTCCTCGGATTTATTGGATCTTAAACAAGACAATCAAGTTAATGGCGGTGGCATCACGATAAGGGAATTCAGCATTCAACCCACACCAGCACGAGTGTTCGAACATCGTGTCGTCTCTCACGGACTTTAAGAAGGGCAAATCCCACTCCTAGCCCTCACACAAAGGGGAATATTTCCATCCATCTCTTTCCCGAGACAATATATGGACTCATACTTGTACAAGAAAAGGTCTCCAAGTATGGTAATGTCACGATGGTACGCAGTATCTGGGTGCCAGATTTGTGTGACGACACCCCGACCTTCATTGCAACAGGGACAGGTCCTGGCATTCGGCAGTTTTACTGGAGGATACGCACGCGGAGCAGAATCAAGCCTTGGTTACGATGCATTGGTCCTTAGGAACGTCGTCTCAGCTTTGGTGTCCTAAGCGTTGGAACTTCAAACGCATCCTGCGAGCGTTGCCAGGCAGCGAGTACCTGTCAACACCCCACCAGACTTATACTGCGCTTTCCAATATACGCTGCAAACGCACCCACACAACCCCCGGTCTCTCGCTGTTCGTCATATCCTCATCTTTCAGAGGACGTATGACCCATTGGAACTATATAATTGCAACATTTGCACAGGTATTCATTAATAGAGTCAATCGCGCAGTGGCAGTTCCCCAACACCTCCGAATAAAACATTCCCAGGTTCGAATCTCGCTAACAGCAACATTAGGTCTGATTTGCTTTGCTCACCTAGGTAAGCCCCCCTCCCACCGTCCCCCTTCCCCCCCCCCCCCTCCCCCGCCCCCTGCTAACCCGTGAGTGAGTGAACAGCCAGTCGGCCTGGGCTCAGGAACTGTAAGTACAAATATCCCCTAGCACCACTGCTACATAAAACGCGACTTGACTTTTTTTGGTAGTTTTCTCTTACCAAGTTTCCTTTTTTTGCCTTTTGTTAGGTAGACAGGAGGAAGATTAGCTAATAAAGAGCTATAGGATATACACAGATATTCTCTATATCACTCTCTGCAATTGCACAAGTATTTTTTTAGATAAAGCATTTATATATTTTAGGGCTATATAGTTGACTTACGCCCTTGTTAGAGCTACTAAAGTCTAAGGATAGGTACCAACTCCTAAAATACCTCTGGAATTCTCACGAGCATAGGCTGATTAACACCAAGATGACGGACCTAGGTTCTTCGTCACTAACATAGAGATCGCAGGTCGGCTACCTAGCTTGGCTTATGCTCCTCCTTACCTTTAGCTACTAACTAAAATAGGCACGCATGTGTTATTACACACATTCGTCAGTCACAACATCTCAACGATGCATAATCACCACCACCACCAGCCCGCATCATGTCCGGACATAATCCCCAAAGCTTCAAGCTGTACCCGCCCACCGCGCTGTCGCTCTCCTTCATAACGTCCACGCAAAAATAGCATTCACCCAGGCTCCAGCGATCTCTCCAAAGCCCACAGGCGAGGAGAATAGTCTACAGGTATTGGGCCAACACATGCGTGTACCTGCCTATTCTTGGTGTCTTTTTTTGCTATGGACTGCTAGCTCAGTGGCTCTGCCCGCTACATCCCTGTTGATAATAGTCTTCTGTCCCTTCACTTTCTCGGTTTTTGCTGCTTTGCCATGAAAGCTCTGTGACAGTTATTATCGTTTTACACAGATAAATCCGCATGGCAGCAGCAAAAGCAGCAACAACACCACCACAGCCACCAAGGCCTACCACCACCCCCAGCGCCTCTGTCGTCCACAACCCACGACCCCTTCCCCGGCGCCCACCAATCCCCAACCTTCCACCCTCTACGCCTTACTGCGTCCCCCCTGCCTGGCCCGCAAGCTCCGCACCCACATCTCGGTCGCCATTGAGGTGCCGACTAGACACCGGGCACGCAAGTACCAGGAGAAGGCGGCGCTGTTGCGGTGGAGGGATGCGCGGGGGGCGAGGGCGAGCGGGTTGTGGATGGGGAGGAGAATGGGGTATATGAGGGGGACGAGGACGATGGCGACGATAACGATAAAGATGAGTACGAGTGTTCGTGCCAGTAGACGCTGAGGGCTTGTGAGCCAAGATGTGATATTGATGTACAGAGTACCCAAGTATACAAGGCAATACATTGTATCCATCTATCTACTCCATACCAATACAATCATATCCCATACTTCACTCCACACCAATCCTCACCACACTCTTACTCCATCGTGCTTCTTCTCCCGAAAGAAGTTTCTCCGCGGGATGCGTGGCAGAGATGATACTACCGTGGTTTTTCATGACAGGGCTGTAGTTTCATGAGATGGGGATGGAGCAATGGATATGTGAGTGAGATTTGTGTAGGCTGGTTAGTTTTTGCCATGACTGCTTGGAATGGACCTGGACAATACGGAACGCAACAACGATATGTGTGGCGAGTAAGAGACGAGGTGGAAAATAGGATGGAATGAAGTGTGAAACAACACAAATAAGCAAGCCTAAATTAATAAAAAAAGTAACTTGGAAACCCCCCAACCCCATCTACGAAGTCTGCAAACTGACTTGCTCAACCCCCCTCTCCACCTCCTCAACCCCCGTCTTAACCGCCGGACCCGCCTTTCCCTTCTCCGCCGCCTCTACCCCTTCAACCGCAGCACCCCCAGCCGCCGCCGCCGCCTTCCTAGCCTTCTTCCTCTCCTTGTCCGCCTTCTTTGCCGCCGCCTTGCGCGCGACTTCTTCCTTGGCTTTGCGCGCCTCTTCGCCGCCAAACTGTTCGCGCCAGAGCTGTTCCTTTTCGGGTTTGATTTGGGAAAAGAGGTAGGCGGCGGTCCCGATCTTGTGGTGGACGGGCAGGGAGCGGGCTTCCCAATTGTCGGGGATGATGAGGAAGGGGGCGTTGAGTTGGGTGAGGATGGCGGTGGTGGTGTCGGGCCTGTTGATGGGTTAATAAACTGTGTTAGGGTGGGGGAGGGGGGTTAAAATGTACATGTAGGGTTGGATGAGGCTGGCGAGGAGGTGGATGTGGCTTAAGGCTAGGCCGACGACGGCGGCGCAGCGGTCTGGTTGTTCGGTGGCGAGTTTGTTGTCTAGTTTGTTGTCTTGGAGGAGTTGGTTGCCTAGGCTGGAGAGGTGGAGTGCGGTGCTGAGTGCAGCGCGGATCTTGACGTCTTCGAGCTCGCTGATGTACCTTTTGAGGAGATCATTGACCTTCTTCTTGTGTTCTGTAAAGTAGGGGTCGTCGAATTTGGTGTAATCTGGAATCACGCTGTCGTAGATTTTTGAGTTGACAAACTTGATGACGCGGTTGACAAAATTGCCCAAGTTCTTCAGGAGCTCGTTGTTGTTGGCTGCAATGAAGCCTGCCCATTCGAACTCGGTGTCACCGGTTTCCGGACGATGTGAGAGGAGGTAGTAGCGCCATACGTCAGATGAGATGCCGGTCTCTTTTGCGTTGTTGCCGAAAACACCAATGTTTCTCGATTTGGAGAATTTGCCATTCTCATAGTTTAGGTACTCGGTGGTCGAAATGGTGTTGAGCATCGTCCAGTTGTCCTTGGTGCCAATCTGGGAACACGGGAAGACCACGGTGTGGAATGGTACATTGTCCTTGCCCATGAACTGGTACAGTTTAACCTGCTCAGGATTGTGCCACCACTTCTGCCACTCATCGGTATATGTTGCCGTGATCGATACATATCCTATGCATGCGTCGAACCAGACGTACATGACCTTGTCCTCATAGCCCTACATCACAGACCTGTTAGTGCCGCGTGCAAAGCAAATGTAAGCCTTGACTCTTACCTCTAGAGGCACCGCAGTTCCCCATTTCAGGTCACGGGTAATGCCTCGTGGACGCAGACCCTCCTTCAACCATGACGCGGTGATCTGGATACCGTTGGAGCTCCAATTGCCCTTCTTGCTTTCTTCCTCAAACCACTTTTGAACGGCTGGCTGCAGCTTGTCCAACCCCAGGTAGACGTGCTTCGTTTCGCGTGGGACAGGTGTGGCTCCATCAAGCTTGCAGCGTGGGTTCTTGAGCTCGAGCGGGTCCAGCAAGTGTCCACACTTGTCGCATTGATCACCACGTGCGTCCTCGTAGTTGCACAGCGGGCATGTGCCTTCGACGAAGCGATCTGCCAGGAAGCTCTTGTGTGTCTCGCAATATGGCTGGGTGGTGACTTGCTCTTCCAAGTAGCCGTTCTTGTACAGTTTGGTGAAGATGTCTTGCGCAATGTCCGTTTGTTGCTGAGTCGGAGTCCTGCCAAAGTGGTCGAAGGAAATGTTGAACCATTTGTAGACCTCAGAATGTAGCGCATAGTACTTGTCGCAAAGCTCTTTTGGTGTAACCTTCTCTTCTATGGCCTTGGTCTCGGTCGCAGTGCCGTACTCGTCAGTACCGCAGACGTAGAGAGTGTTGTAACCCCGAGCGCGTGAGAAGCGTGCAAAGACGTCGGCGGAGAGGACAGAGCCAACAATGTTGCCCAGATGTGGAACATTGTTCACGTACGGCAGCGCACTAGTAATGAGTACATTGCGCTCACCCTCCACCGGCAGGATCTTCTTTGTCGTCTCGGTCATGGAGTTCGTAGTGTGCTGTGTGAGCTCGAGTTCTGATGTGCGGGGTGTGGTCGAACTCGAAAAGCTTCACCAGATTGGCAATGACCGGCTGATGATTCGTTTTCGTCGCAGGAGATTTTGTTTCGGCTCCGGAGCTGCAGGAATCTGATGTCTTTTTTACAGTGGATTCGTTGTGCGATTTCAGTGAGTCAAGTTAAGCTCACATGTATTAAGGGCGATTGGACATTGCCCCTCCAAATCGTTTACCCCGCCACAAAGCATCAGCCACATTGACGCCACTGCCACCCGCCACATTACCTGGACCCTGGAATAGGACTCATACTTTACCACCCTGTGAGCTGTAAAATTCAACACAGGGACGACGAGTGTTCAGAGGGTTTTGGTTAACAACAAAAAGCTCTCACAGTTGTGTAGACGATAAAAAACACATACATCACGATTGTGCCATTTCACATCACCCTGATACAACTCAAGTCGTATTTGAAAGAGTTGACTTGGAAAGAAGAAGCCAGAGATCTGCTATATACTATATCCATCCACTCAAACACAGTCATAATCTGCTGAGACCATCCACTCCCTGGATCTGGGTTTCGTCCATTCAGTCGGCGTTCACAGACCTTCTGCAAAGGCCCCTCAACATGGCTCCCTCCACCACCACTCAACCCCCACAGGAAGACCCCTTCGACTCCCTCCTCACCCTAGAAGACACTCTTTACACGACCGCCTACTCCCTTGGTGCCTCCGACGGCGCCCATGCCGGCCGCATAGAAGGCCGCATCTTCGGTCTCGAAAAAGGATTCGAAAAGTTCACCGAATTAGGGAGCCTGCACGGCCGGAGCATAGTATGGGGATCACGATTACCAAATTTGCGACAAACAACACCACAAGCAGCACCGATTGCGCAGAGCACTACGGACCAAGACACCACTGCGAAGCCGTGTCAGTTGCCGGAGTTGCCAGTGAATTCGAGACTGAGGAATAATGTCATGTTACTGCATAGTCTTACGGATCCGCCTACGTTCGACACGGCGAATAATGAGGAAGCTGTCGCGGACTTTGATGATAGGGTTAAGCGTGCCGGGGCGAAGGCAAAGGTTGTGGAACGTATTGTGGGCGAGACGGCAGTTGGGGGCAAGTCTTCGGCTGCTTCGCCAGTGAGGATGGGCAAGGATGGGCCTGTGAGAGTGACTGGGGAGGGTGGGAGGAGGGTGAAGAAGGGGGATGATAGTATGGAGGATTTTGCTGGGTCGAGATTGGCGCGATGATGGGGGGTTGTGTGTGTTCATGCTACAGTAGTGTATTGGAATGGAGAACAGTCGAAGATTCTGGACAAGGGGATGGCGATTGATGAACATAACAAGTACGAGTTCGCAAGTAAAGAACAGTTCTTGAATGATTCTGCATTGTCCAAGTTTCTGACGTTGCGATTCCAATGGATGCAGTGGAATTCGTCTCCTTCTCTCACTTCTTCCTCACATATAACTCGTACAAAAGCCCACCAGGCTTGTGTTTCAGCTTTTTACGTATCGGCAATATGGGCCCTGTTGCTCCACCGACTCGTAATTTCTCATCGTGTCCGTATCCCCATTGCAAGGCCAGCTCATCTCTTCCATCCGGTGTGCTTTACAATCTGCTCCTCCTTCTCCTTGCGTGGATCGGGGTCCAGGCCGCGGTACCTTCGTTTCTCTATCAGCTTCTCGCGCCTCATCTGCTTAGCCTGCTTTTCGGTGGGTCGGCGGAAAGACCATTGGAGCTGGCCGAATATGCTGGTCTTGATTGCTGTGCACTGTTAGTCCAGACCAACGTATAGCGCACACGCAAAGACGGCATACCATCTACACAGTACGGGCACAGAATGTGCATTCGCTTGACTCGCCCGCATCCTGAACACCTGTTCAGTGCTGTGACATCCTTGAGGCCCTTGCCAGCCAGAAACCGTTGGCGCTTCTTGCGGTATGACGTCTTCTTTTTTGGTACTGCGTTTAGGATGCCATCCCATACATCGGCGAGGGACGGTATTGCGGGCAGCGAGAGGGAGGGCATCGCAAGGGCGCCGAATGGTGTGGATAGGGCGCCAAGGGGCTGTGTAAGGCGCTGCAGGAAGGGCAATTGCAGTTGTAGAGCGGGTCGAACGGGCGCATTGAGGGCTGGGAAGAGCGTCTGCCACAGCGGGGGCAGTGGCCGGGCGAGGGCCATGGCGGTGATTGTCAACTGGTCTGCTTGGAAGTGTCGACGGTGAATGGGCTCTCAGCCCGTGTGCGACCCTGAGCGTCTTCTGCGATGATCGTCTCGTGACCCGATGATGGGTGTTGGGAAACAATCGATACCTAAAATGCAGAGCCAGGTTTGGCAGCCAAAAGCTTACTACTCTAGGCCGCGCCTTACCTTCAGCGGCCCCTTTTAGCGCGCTTTCGCTCTCGCTTCCCTGGCCTGGTCCTGGCTCCCCCTTTTGCCGCGCCTGCATCTCCATCCACGAGAGAAAGTCGGTCGGCCAGCAACGACCCTGATTCTTTCCAGTTGCCCTCGAGACTCCCCCAAACAGCCAACGTCGAACCCCCCTCGCTCCCTCGCACGCCCAACCGCCCCTCTTCCTCCACTGCACTTTTTGCCATAGTCTACATCTGCCACGAGGCTCCTTTCACACGCAATGGCTGCCGCATACCAGACGCCAGCGCAGCCCATCTTCCCCGATAGCTATGTCGGTTTTGACAGCATCACCAAGCAGATTGAGAGAAAGTCGATCAAGCGGGGCTTCCAGTTCAATGTCATCTGCGTTGGTAAGAACCCGCTACCAAGAAAACGAACCAAGCATTGCGTGTGGACGCGACGGTTGCTAACATGCGCGTTCTTCAGGCCAAACAGGTCTTGGAAAGTCGACGCTCATCAACACCCTATTTGCCTCGCACCTGATGGACAGCAAGGGTCGCTTCCAGCCCGACGAGGAGGTCCGCAGCACCACCAACATCCACCCCGTCTCACACATCATCGAGGAAAACGGTGTGCGTCTGCGCCTCAACATTGTCGATACCCCCGGCTACGGTGACCTGATCAACAACGAGCGCTGCTGGGACCCCATTGTCAAGTACATCAAGGACCAGCACAGTGCCTACCTGCGCAAGGAGCTCACCGCCCAGCGTGAGAGGTACCTGCAGGACACACGCATCCACTGCTGCCTGTTCTTCATCCAGCCATCTGGCCACGCTCTCAAGCCGATTGACATTGTTGTGCTCAAGAAGCTTAGTGAGTTTGTCAATGTGGTGCCTGTCATCGCGAAGAGCGACAGCTTGACCCTGGAGGAGCGTGCCGAGTTCAAGCACCGGATAAAGGAGGAGTTTCAGTTCCACAACTTGCGCATGTACCCCTACGACAACGAGGAGGATGATAGCGAGGAAGTGGCTGCAAAGCAGGCCATCAAGGTGAGCCCCCACCTCTGTTGAAGAATGCTCGACCCTTTGCTGATTACTCTCATAGGAGCTTCTTCCCTTCGCTGTTGTCGGTTCCGAGAGGACGGTTGTTGTTAACGGCAGGAACGTTCGCGGTCGTCAGAACAAGTGGGGCATCATCAATGGTCAGTCCGTTCAAATGAGTTTAGTCGTGGAAGCACATGATCTAACAGCGCATAGTCGAGGATGAGAACCACTGCGAATTCGTCTACCTCCGCAACTTCCTGACCCGCACCCACTTGCAAGACCTCATTGAGACGACTGCCCAGATCCATTACGAGTCCTTCCGCGCCAAGCAGCTTTTGGCTCTCAAGGAAAGCTCTGCCGTTGGTGGCCACTCGTCTCGCCCCATCTCCCCATCGGCCGACCGCGAACTTAGCAGGAACAGCCAGCGCATGACGATGAACGGCTACTAGGATTTGCCGAATCATAACCGCGTTGACAGCATCGGTCAAAAGCCAGGACCTCCTCCACGCATGGAGAGACCCATGCCGATGATTGATGCTGCATAAGGCGAGGCGCAGAAGACGCTTTGGTGCGCAAGGAGGGAGAATGATACCAGTGCATTACTTAAGCACGAAAAGCCGTCTGCGTTGCTTCGGGAGGTCGTGCGCTCGACACACCTTTCTTTTCCACAATATCCTTTTTAGTTACGATTAAGCTTTTCTTTTGACTTCTTGATCTCCTCTGTCATAGCGCGGTGTGGTGGTAGAGGTGCGCTTGGGTGTACTGGTAACACTCTGCCTGGACCCTCTTCTAGGATAGCAAGTAATTCAACCCCAATTCCTTCCCTCGATTGTGTTGTGCTCGTTCTTTCCATTTCCACTCTGAGAGTGTGGTGGTTTGATGTCAGGCCACATTTCTATATTTCCAGAAGATAATTCACGTCGAGGCGTGCATTGGGGAAGGCTCGATAATGTTGTGGCTGGATCTATCCTTGTTTGGTCTTACCAGATATGCGTAAAAGAGCAAGTCTTTCTCAGCCAGCCGAGCAATGTCTTTGCCATGGCCGAGTATACTGTTGGCTTATAACGTCATAGTACTTCATCATCATCATCATGATCGAGTTGGCAAGGCAATTGGGGTGACTATGTTGCGCAATGATGCATGAGGCATGCAGAGAGACTGTCGAACCCCGCGCCCATGAATTATTTCCTGATCTACTCCACTGATAATGCAGCCAAGCTCCCATGGAACTTCAGCGCCACTCCTAGACGCTGAAACTGCCAGCAATCCACTCGGAGACACATGAACGCGCTGCATCTGACGCGTCTTTAGACACATAACGTGTGGGAACTCAGCATGCCGCGGTCCAAACTGACTAACTCAGCATGTCCACCGACTGGTGTGGCTAGTGATGTAGCGCCACTTCCAGCCGCGTGGGTCGCAAGTAGCAACCTTAACATTAGAACGGGCCACGATTCGCCAACATCGGAGACCATCCACGAAGCGCTCCCTTGCAAAAAGTCCCCCGTTAGTACCCTCTTTATGCTTTCCGGAATGCGCCTATAACATTGTGAGGGAATTGCAATACTTTCGTCATGTCTGCGACCGGAACGAATGATCCAGTGAACCAGAGTGGTAGGTGAGCGCTGAGCATCCGGAGGTGTCTGGGAAACTGTGTCAACCTCTTTGGGTTGGTGGTGAGGGAAGGGGAATCATGTGGCTGACGGGAAGATTCAGGATCGCCTTCCAAGTCGAAAAAGAGAAGGAACAAGAAGAAAGGTGGTGGAAGTGTGAATAAGGCAGAGGATGCAGTTGTCAATGGCGATCAGTCAAGGCAAGGAGCCGAGGATGTCGAGGACGATGTAGACGAGGAGGAAGAGCAAAATGTACGACTGCCCGCACGACTTGTGTTAATGCATGGCGCATAAATTAACATCATAACCGCAGACGATACCTGCGCAGCCCACGGGCCGCGACACAGACGATGTCGACGACGAAGAACCCCCACGATCGCCTACATTACAGAAAAATGGTACGCAACGTCACAGCATATCCTCTGCAGTCGCACTGGGGCTAGCACGCTCACGCTCTGGTCAAGGTCTCGCACCATCACCACCCCCTCCTTCCGACACGAGCGCGCGGCTGGACGCTATAGCCAAGGAACGTGATGCATTACGGCTGGAAGTTACAGAGCTACGCAAGTGTCTGGAGAGTATACAAAGTAAACATCAGGGTGCAGCCTCCAAGAATGTAGAAGAGATAGAGTCAAAGCACGAGGAGGAGATCAAGGCGTTGAGGGAGGAATTGGACGAGGCGAATGAGGGCAAGGAACACTTTGAAACACAATACAAGAACCTGCTTGGAAGGGTGAATACTATCAAGACGAGTCTTGGCGATCGTCTGAAGGCGGATGCGGTAAGTGGATCCCAGTTACTCTGAACTGGCTACAGTGAGATGTGTAGGTGCAGTGTTCCTGACTGTTCGCAGGCCAGAATTGAAGAATTCCAACAGCAGCTTGCCGACCTGGAAGAGCAGAATCGCGAACTGCAGGAAAACAACAATACGCTAACGAAGGAGCTCGCAAAGCTGCGACAAGAGAAGGAGGCACAAGCATCTGAAATCGAGTCCTTACGGAGCAGAGCCACTCTGTCTCAGCAGAACTGGATCAAAGAACGCGACGAGCTCATAGCAAGGGAAGCATATGCAAGAGAGGAGTTTGACAATGCAAGACAAGCCATGCAAGACTGGGAGGTTCTTGCCATGAACGAGCGATCATTGCGTGAAAATCTCGCAGAGAAAGATGCAGAGCTCAGAGAACAGCTCGAGACCTTGCGGGACGAATATGAGAGAGCTGCCAGAGACAGAGACACTAACAGCCAGGCTGTTGAGGGCCTGCAAAAGGCGCTACAGGAGGTACAGTCCCGTATGTCACGACCCCTGAATCCGCTAAAAACACCACGTGTTGACACTCTCCAGTCCGAAAAGCCGAGCTCAAGAAATCGGTCGAGACGTACGAGTCTCAGATCAACGATCTCCGAAAGCAGGTCCAGACAGCAGAAGAAGCCTCAAAAGCCGCCGAAGCCGCCCTTGTATCGACGCAAAAGGAGCTCGAACGCGCGCTGCCATTTGAAAAAGAAGTCAAAGAGAAGAACCTGCTCATTGGCAAGCTGCGCCATGAAGCCGTCACGCTCAACGAACATCTCACCAAGGCGTTGCGGATTTTGAAAAAGGGTCGTCCGGAGGATAATGTGGATCGGCAGATTATCACGAATTACTTCTTGCATTTCTTGTCGCTGGATCGGAGTGATCCCAAGAAATTTGAGGCGTTGCAGTTGATTAGTGCGTTGTTGGGGTGGACGGATGGTATGTTTATATTTTCCCTTGCGCCTGTCTCTTCCGTCCTTTTTTTCATTTCATACCCATCCCCACTACTTCCATCTCCCTGTAGCTCCCCGACACCCCCAAATTTGTTCCATCCGCTAACACAACCCCCAGAACAGCGCGAGCAAGCCGGTCTCGCCCGCCCAGGCACATCCTCTAGCTCAGCAAGCCTCCGCATCCCACTCACCCCCTTTCGCCGCACACCCTCAACCCCCTCCCTCCACTCAGCAGCCACAGACCCCATGCTCATGGCCAGCAGCTCCAGCAACAAGGAAAGTCTGGCAGAGCTGTGGCAGGACTTTTTGGAGAGGGAGGCTGCCGAGGGGATACAGGGGACCCACGGAGGACTGGGAAGTAGGCGGGAGAGCATGGCTAGTTCGGCGGCAGCGAGGCTGGAGAGAGAGGGGGCGAAGTAGGGAGGTGACGAGATGGCGGTTAGACGGGATTTTTTTTTTCTCTTCTTCTGGTTGATTCTTCTTCATCTCCTTTCTTTCTTTCTTTTCAACCCCCGGTTTTTTATACTTTTCAGGCATTCATTGGCGAAATGAGCGGTAGGGTTCTGGTTCTATGTACGGCTTGACTTTGGCTCGCCTGGGCTGGGGTGCTCTGTAGCCGGGAGTAGCATGAGATTAAGTGGAATAAAGATGGCGAGAGTGTATGCATGGATGACTTGTCGATGCTATGTGTACACTTGACTCGGGGGTTGAAGGCCTGCTGGTCTACATTTTGAAGTCTGAATCACATGTGATAGTCCGGCCTCCCTTTCCCTTCTCAATTACAATCTACTCACTACACTGTCTCGGTGTTTGGGTGCTACTGTTCCATGCCACTGGTCCTGGACGTTAATTCGGCATTCTCACGAGGTAATGTATCAGTGTTCAGCAGATCTGCGCCCACGCTGTGCATTTTACCATCAATCTGCAGCACGAATATGGGATTCATTGGAAATTAATTTTCTTGGGAGAAGATTTTTTGCAGTGAACGTGTTCGACATGTACGCAGAGACTAATGTACCGCTATAAATGGGGATGAAGGATGTCACACTCATGCCAGCAGCCCGCCACGCGGATTCCAGAGGATGGGAATTTCTAGGTTGTTGTTGGAAGAGCGAAAAGAGCAGGGTTTTTGCTCTGCTTTGGAAATTAATTGAGATATACCTAGCGAGGCTAGTGATATGCTTGGACAGATTAGCTAAATTGTCAACAAGATCTGGACACTCTTCAAGGTGTAAGAAGTACTCTCGCAACTACAGGATCGCTTGATTTGATTCTCCATCATTTCACTTCCCTACTCAGTAGACTCGGTCGTCGGGTCATTCCTCGGAAACTACCTTCTTCAGAATAGTAACTGGCGCTGGGAATGTAGGTGTACTGCACAAACAGATATTAGTGTTTATGATACCCAATATATGGATCTGATCACGATAGGCATCGAGAAGCCAGCAATTGACAGGATCTTACGACGACAGGAGCCTGCAGCGCGTGTCCACCTGTAGAGATACCCTTATTTCCAATAGCATACAATATTCGGTACTACAACTTGTAATGCTAGGATCATGTGCTCTGCCTTGTAAGTAGAGAGGTTGATCAGCAAAACATCATGCTAGTTTGTAGTTTGTACTGACGTCGATGGAGTTGGAGGTGGTGGTGAGAAGCTGGGGAAGATCGGCGATTAGACAGTGCAGGTATGTTAAATCCGACGCGTTTTCGTGTCGAGCTACCAAGCTTCATCACGAACTTGCAACGACACAACAACACAAATGCAGCATTTCCTCTAGTCCTTTCCTTCCTACTGAGATGGCTGCCCAATGATCAAGATGGCAAAATCAACCCGCATGAGCCAAATCTTCACCTCATCGTCAGACGGGCGCGCCAATACCACCGTCGTAACAGCAACGCCGCCTTACTCCAGTGAAGGCCCTACACTCCCCGTCATTGGACCCTCCAACAACCAAATCCTCCCCGCACAGAAAATCACCCAAGTCACGCAACCCAGCAAAAAGCGCAAAACGCATGATCAGCGCGGACCTCGACCTCGACCCCAGCCACCGCATACCCTGCACCCCGCACTGTACACGCCGTGGACACTGCTTCCTCGTGAGATCCTCGATGTACTTGAGACACAAGCGCGGATACGCACCGCCCAGATCAACACCAATGTTGTCCCTGTAGTCTTTAGCAAGAACCAAAATATCAAAGCGGGAATTAACAAATTGAAGACGCTACTGGGGGCGTACAAGGATCCCAAAGCAGGAATTGAAGTACCAAAGCCGTTGAAAGATGGGGGTGGGGATGCAATGATAGCTGTCAGTGCGCAAGGGGATGGGACGGGGAAGTTGGTGGGGATTGTGGAGATGGTCAGGCGGGTTGTTGCGCCTGTGACGGGGCAGGGTGGTGGGGAGGAAGTGCAGACGTGGTGGATGTACACTGTATTGTCGAGTATAGAAGTCGAGTGGAAACCCAAAGAAAAGAAAGAGGGTACGGGGAGTGAAGTTGCTGAGGAAGAGAAAGACGATAATGGCGAGGAGGAAGCGTTCGAGAGTATGGATGTCGACAAGGAAGAGAATACAAAGGCCAAGAAGCTCAGGAAGGTTCCTATACTGACGGTTTGGATGACGAGGAAGAAGATACCAGCATTTGCCAAGGAGTTTGGGGAACAGAGCTTCATCGTTCAGAAGATGAAAGAGGAGAATTGAAGAGTTCCAAGTTTTGGTTTCCAGACTGCATATCCTCTCCTACCAGCCTGGAGACTCTCCGCGCCAACAAGCAAAAAAAATCTGAAAGACACTGGTCGTGCATGAGCCAGAGTTCTACATCGCGAATTGTCCAATGTGTACATACATGCATGTGTGTCCACGCCTTTTATCACATCACCTCCTTCCGCACAAACTCTTACTTTAAGACATTCCAGTGACCTCGCGCTCAATTACTCCGCGTCTACATTACATCGTCTCACACTGCCATTCCCGAGGACACGGCTTCAATTCACACCGACCTGGTACTGACCTGGCACAGCACTCAACAACCACTCGCTGCATGTTTTCAAGCAAACTTTTGAAGCTCTCACATCAGACATCGCTTGGAATCAATACTCGTCTTAAGATTCCTATCGCAATTCTTGCCGCACCGTCCACTTCCCCACCCCGCAAGACTGCAAAAAAGCAGCTACTACCACTGAGCAAGCGCTCGTCAGGTATCTATCTACACATCCTCAGCTCCTGGGTTAGACCAGTAAAGCTCTCGCCAATTTTCTACTTCTGCGGCAAGACCCTCGGGTTCTACCTCACCAGGTGGAATATCCAACCTCTCCACCCAATACATTACAAACTTCTCCGGGTCCGACGGATCAACTCCCCAAAAACACCCAAACCCGTAATCAGGAGACTTGTTTGTGTTGCTGCAGAGATATAGACCCCTTTTGAAACTTTTGGCCTCGCCATTTTCAAGGCTGTTTTTCTTGCTCAACATGTAGTGTATCAACTGTTTTTTGAACTTCTCCGTTTTAGGCAGCGTTAGGCAGAGCTCGCCGGCCCAGGGGCTGGATTTATCGGGGGGCATGGGTTCCGTGGTCATGGGGAGGTGGCATCTCATCAAGCCGTACTTTGCTTCTTTGAACGTGACGGTTGGCTTGCTCCCAGATGAGGGGTGGTTGGGAGTCGCTTCGGGTACCGAGGATGACATTGCCGTGGATGATTTCGAGTTGGTACTTTATAGTAGTGTTGTGGCTTGCGGGGAAGTAGAATGGCATACACACCGAAGAAGATATTCCCCGTCTTTTATAAACGCTCACGTTTGATCGCGGACTCACCCATCTTGACTCATAACGCGCAATCAAAGGAGGTTGTGCCTGTCATTGCTAGTCATAATGTGGAAGGGTAGATGGCACACAGTCATATTGCCAGCGAGCCCTGTCAAATCAGTCGCTCCAGATCTCTGCTCTACCCATTTCAGAGTAGGCTAGTTACAAGCTCATGACAGAACGGAGTCTCAGCTCTACACACCTTTCCTTCCCCATTCATTCCGCCGAGACTCGCCCATGCCATACACAGCATGCTGTACACTTTCAACAACGGGCATAATGGATCAACTCCCCCATGTTCTAGGTAAGCAAGGTCCCACCGTACGAACCAGAATTCTCAGTCGTGGCGTCGGATGCGATCAGGTAAGAAGTGGGTTTGCATCGCTTTCCACTATCCTCCCTCCTCTCCTAGAAGTGTCCCGCAGCTCTTCTTGTAGCGCCCAAAACTCTTCCTCCAGAGCCTTCGCCCTGTTGCTTCGTGTGGAATTCTCAAAATCGATCAGAGTCGCTCTTCCATCGTGGATGAGGAAATTATGCTTGTTAAGGTCACCATGCTCGATCCCCAATTCGTCTCGTCTCGACAATGTCCGCTGACACGGAGAAAGATATTCCGGTGTTGCATGACGGCAGTCGGTGATGCGCTCTATGATGAAGCCGATGACTCCGCCTTGCTCACTTCAGTGGCCGAGGAATTTGGGGCCGATTTGATGGTTTTCGATCCATTGATATGCAGAGATTTCGGCATCGAATTGTGGTATCTCCCAATCGAATCGAGCAAATTTCGCTACAATTGTTGAGCTTAATTGAGGGCACGTGGCTTCGTAGACATTCGAGCCAAGTTTTTATCCCATCTGAAGCTCCAAGTAATCTATCTGAAGCGGATGCCAGACTTTCGTGACTCCGGGAAGCTGAAGCTTCGTGTCTCTGGTGAAATAAGGACGCATATTCGAAATATTATGTGATATATGGCCTTTGTTCCAGTCGCCAGGTGGTAGTTGTGATAACATAGAAATCAAGGAAGGCGCGAAACACATTTCACTAACATCGTATAGTCCGGGATCAATCGTAAGATATAGTCTACTTTAGATGAATATGGCTACTGTAAACCGGTTTTGTACTGTAGTGATTATCATAATTACTATAAATGTAAAGGCATCAAGTTACGTATGATAGGTATTTTGCCAAGATTTCTCAAAGTATTAATATATGTTCGCGAGAGAGAGAGAGAGAAAGGAGGAATGGGTTAGCTGCGATGAAAGTGTATCATCACTCCCGAATCATATGCAAAGCTGTAAAACCACGCAAATCTTACATGCTTGCAACGAGGTATTGAAAAGCAGTTGCACGGCGATAGTAACACATTTTATA